GGAACATTTTATGAAAAAGGCTGTTAAGTCACTCCCTTTTTTATGGAAATTTACCCATAAAAAAGATGCAAAGGGCTAAAACGCACACTTATATAGATAAAAAAAACATTTTGCTATTCAATATAGAAAAAAGATTGGACGTTATTCTGGTTCGTCTTAATTTTTGTTCAACTATGTTTCAAGCAAGGTTCTGTTGAACGCTGCTTAATCGTCTTGCCTCTTACCGTCATGAGTGGATACATGAACTACTACTCCTTTGTGGATAACTATGGAATGTTATAACGAGTGGCGTACATCGTCACTCGATGATTAAGATGATTTTAGATATGTATGTTCATAAAAACTGTGTAAAATAAAATTATGATTGAGTTAAAGCAAGTACATTCAATGTAATCTTAACCGGCCTAACTTCTAGATCTATAAAAAAAGTTTGAACTTTCTTGGCAACACATTTTAAAATCTCATAGCTTTATGTCTAATTGATATAATTGAAACTAAAAAGTTTTCATCAATTCTATATAATGAAATTATGATGAAACTCATGCATTTGATGATATGTACAAAAATTAATTTTGCTTTATCATATGAGCAAAAGTAGTGTTATAGTTGATAAATATTAAAATGGAGCATAATGATAAATATCCTATCCCTACGAATACAGAAACAACACCTATGATTCAATTACTGCCACAAATTAACATTTTATTGAAGAGTTTTACTTCTCATGCACATGTCACTCCCATGAGCATCTGCAATTGATAAGGTCAAAGGCGACACAAATGCAAGATGAAATCACATCCAAATCTTGAAATTCATCCAATAGATATCGCAAAAGTCGCAAACAACTTTGGAATTTATATTCAGGTGGGAAACTTCCCACGATTACACGTTCAGCCGGCAGCACCAAGCATCCAATGTACAAATTGGCTTAAATCATGATGTACACTATGCACCACTCAGAACATCCAAATTGGACTCTCTACTTTGATTGTGGTATCTTCGACAAACTGAAGCAACTCGCGCATTGTGACAAAACACAGAGCTCACGAACGTGCAGAGGAATGCAAACTAATGATTGAAAACTGGCTCATGAAAAAGCACTTTGAAGTCAAAGCCTTGGCCTTTTTTTTCACAATGAACATTTGGAGGCATCATCCGCTAGCTGCGAGCCCCCATCATGTGCGACTTCCGCAGATACGGCAAATGCCACGCCCGTAGAACTCCTATCTACTCCTATCATACTCAAAAGTGCTGAAAGCTCTAACTCTAAATTCTTCTTTGTCTCCTCTAAACCCGAGATGAGAAAAATAACCATTCCACCTAACTGTCAATGTCATGCGGCTCCGCTAGCTCCCAATTCCTTCAATCGACCCTCCATCAAATCCAATTTCGTCCACTTCGTCGTTTGAATCTGCCAATTCACGTAACCGCGAAGACATTGCTCTACCCCTGGACACAAACCAGCATCTATCTGTTGTTTCAGCAGTTGAATAGTTGCCTCTATCTCCACCAATTTTGCTCGAGCCACGACCAACTATTCCTCAACTGCCGACAATTGAGATCGCAATCTGCTGCAATCCGCGTCCAATTCTTTTTCACGCTCTATCTCTGAAGTTTGGGCAGCTTTGCAATTAGCCAATTCCTTTGCCCAACGAGCCACTTTGCCAACATGCGATTGATCCCCTGTCATCAAAATTGCCGGTAGATTCTCCACGCGCAAAATTCTTCTTTCAAATCCTGTCCAAAATCATTCCAATTTGTCTCGAAGTTCCACCGTCATCTTCAGCGCATTGCTAATGTCAACCCGAAGGTCCTTCCACTCTAGCTCCTTCTAAGTACAAAGGCTCTACTCAACCGCTAGCTTCCTCAAAAAATCTGAACACTCCAACTCCTTCGCCTGAAGTTGCTCTCCGCTCTTACAAGGTCACTGTCATGGTCGCACACTCATAAGTTAAGCTCGCAACACTCTCTGTTATCTTCGTAATTGTTGCCACCTTCGCCTTAATCCTACTACGCACTAACTCTACATAAGATCCTGCAGAATTTGGCTCCGAGTATTTCGCCATCTTTCCTTCTAAGTACTTGACGAAGGGAACTATCCTATCACACAAAAGATCAGCTACACTAAGCTCAGCTGTCTTTGGCTCTTTGGCCTATGTCACCTTCATGCTTTGGCTATCGTAGGTGTAATCGCCTTCCTCACATGCACATGGCTCCAAGACTTGAGTCAAATGCTCAATTGTACAACTCTTAGGGTTGCCATGAATTCCATCAGCTTCGGGCGTGCGTCTCTCATGCCACTCCTTCAATATTGTTGCGGAAATCCAATTCCAACCTCACATCAAAAAATTGAGCTTGGTACCTATCAGTTCTTGGCGATACGCTATCAATTCAAACTCCGATATTTTTAGTGCTGACAATCAAAATCCCAAAGCTCGCCTCATTGCTGCGCTCTAAATTTCTCACTCTTTATCTTCATTGAACTCCCAATTCGCAAATGCACACCCACAAAATGTCGACGCGGAGCTCCCGTTTCTGCTAATGTACTTTGATGCCCTAGCCGCATAGTGAAGACGTGCGAATTGATGATACAAGTGCTAAAATTTCCCTTCCGATCGGAGCCGCATTTCACGATGCCGTAGGATCTTTGCCAAAGTCCGAAGGCCCTTCTTCGTCTTCGTTTTACCGTGTCCCCCGCTTCCTACACTCGTAACTTGGGATTAACTCATCCGTTTTTAGTGTTCTTGGGCTCGTTGATACAAGCACGCCAAGCTCTATCTATTGAGATATTGCCTAAGTCAAGTGATACCTAATTGAAAAATTTATGAACGATCTACTATAGTGGATCATAACCCTTCTTATTCAACTTTATTGCCTACAAGTAAAAATACTAACTTCAACAGAGAGTTATCTAAAATTGATTCTATTATTCCTAACTTGGCATCTACTACCAAATACATTTTTTAATTTACTTCGAAGTATTTTTATACTAAAAGTTTGAAAATCCTAGTCATCTACTACTCAAACTTACTATTTTCAAAAAAAACTAAAAACTACGTTACCACAAGTTCATGCATTGTAATGTAGTAAAATGAAGTCAAATTTTTTTCAAGAATGCTTAAAATTACGACATATTTTATATGATTTACAAGACAATGCTTAATTCATAATGCTACGTTGGTTATGTACAAAAGAAAATCTAGAAATATGAATGTTTGTACACTATTGTGAATTCATACATTTAACATGGATGAATTAAAAAACTTCTTTGCACAAGTGTGTAGTTTTATGTACAACAAAATATATTTTTGTGTATATTTAAAATTCAAGTTTAAAACATATCAATCATCATAAAATTAGTTATGAAATTTGTATTCAATTCAAGATATATCCAAAATACTTAATTATAATTTCATAAATATGACAAATTCTAAAAACATATAATTTATTTGAATTACATGAATATAAGTAATTTATAGTTAAAAAATAAACATAAGGTTAAACTGAAATCAAATTTATTCTAAAATCAATAAAATACATATATTCAATAAGATTTAAATACTCAATTAAAGTATTATAAAAATATTTTAGTTGATAAAGAAAAAATTTATAAAAAGTAATGTATAGATAATATTTTGATATCTAAAAATGTAAACAATGAATGTATCATCTGCATGTCAAATTATGTCATTGATGATTTATATGTGTATTTCATATCATTATGCATTATAACAAAATGTTTGATGGTGTATGCACATGTATTTTTTTCAATTTTAAAAAAAATCCTCTGCTATTTTTTTTTCATTTCATAAGTTTATTATTACCATGATATTTTTTTTAAACAATACTTCAATTATTTTAATTAAATTTTAATATCTATTCATTCTATTATAATTTTTATTTGTTTACAAAAAATTTTGTGTTCAAATTTGAAATAATGTTGAAATCATTGAATTTTGTAATCTTTATGGTTGGATTAGTGTAAACGCTCAGTTTATGATATATACAACGAATTTATCGTATGTGATAGAAGGCCTTGCATTTGAAAAATGAATTACGATTTGTGCTTATTGAACTGTTTCAATAGATACTTTAGAAATAATTTTTCAAAGAAATTATAACAAACATAATTATTTTTTATGCAGCTGATTTTCATTTCTTCAATAATTGATTTAAACTGAGAATGTGAATAATATAAGTTTTCATCTTAGATATTAACTTTCTGTTTCACAAGATGTCAAGAATGGATGCACTTTTTTTGCTGAGTCACTGATTTATTATGTTGAAAACATTAAAAAAATGAGAGAAACCCCAAATTATGTTTAAAAATTTGCAGTTGGACCAATATCCTTTTGATACCACCAATGCGTTATGCATCACAAAATCATTTCTCCCCCAAATACAATGTGCTTTGAACAGAATCAAACAACACATAAACCAGATGAAAATGACATAGAACAGGAATGTTTTGGTTACATTTATTTTGAAGCGGACGTTGATGTAACAAATGAATACGACTAAGATAGAGAAAGTAAGGATTGAATGAAGAAAAAATTTGCAAGGAATTAGTAAGGAAAATAGGTTGTATGTTATGCTAAAAGATTACAATTGATCCAAATATTTGTCAGTGTAGTAAGCTACTTACATCTATTAGAATAGTTGTCATGAATGAAATACGAAATCCAAATGAACTCAGAAATCAAAGTCACATATTATTCGGATGTAGAGGTGAAGACAAAGTTGATCACATTTGTTTATTGACTATATGATTCCTCAAAAGACTTTAAACCCCACATAAATTGTGTCAGCAATTTTTCATCAGGTAAGTTTTTTGATGTACTGTAGATATGACGGATTTTTCAAACTCATAGACGAGATTATATGAGATGAAAAGACTAATCAAAATCTTGAATTGGGCTTGAATCAGAATGTTCATAAATATGTATGAATTCAAATCAATGACCATGAACGGTAGGGTTGGTACCGGGATTACGACGACAATGGACAGTAGTGAGGGAGCTTCCGGATTCCGGAGCGCGGATGTGTTGATGAATGGGTAGTGAAGCATCGAGCTCAGCGCAGGAAGAGCGGCCACTGTCAGACATCAGAGGAGCCGACGATTGTGCGACAAGCGAAGGGAAGTCGCGGTTTGCTCCGAAGGTTTAGAGGTTTGGTCATTTGAAGTGGTGCGCGGCTTCCGGAAGAGCGAATCTTCGTTTGCGGAACTTGAATCGAATGATCTTTTGCCAGTGGTAGCTTCGAGTGACATTTTTGTGCCGAAACCCTAATCTGTCAGTCGTCGAACGAGGTTGTGGAGCTTTGCCCTCGGATGGTCGTGCAGTCTCCGTGGACAGGATCAATTTCGCTCTTCGCTGTATCTTTTAGACGTGTCGAAGACAATGTGTCAGTAGGTGCGTAGAATATTGGAGCAAGATGTCGGCAAATTTGCTGGAGCAGACGAGGGCATGGCACGAGGAAGTGGAAAGGTTGGAAAGATTAATTGTGAAGGATTTGCAGCGCGATGCAAAGCCTCACAAGGAGCGGTTGCATCAATATCACCGTGTGAATAACATGGTGGAATCTATCGTTGGCACCTGCGGGAAGCTTGTGAGTCTTAAACCTCACCAGCTTATTATGAAATGCGTCATTTGTGCTGACTGATGTGTTTGAAGATGCGACATCGGCTTTTGAAGTCTGTAAAGCTTGAAGTTACTCTTGCAGGTTATGTAACGTTACAGGATTTAGCAGACACCGAAGGCTGCGTATGAAACCGTAAAATTTGTTTGCTGCTTGGCACAGCATGCTGAAATGGCTGAGGTTGGTCAGTCGTACATGTCGAATTTCTCCTCACATGTTTGCTAATAGGTTGAAATATACGAAGACAAGGACAATGCCCGCAAAGACGAAATTGCTGCTCTTGGAGGGCAAAGTGCCAATGGGCAGAATAATTACTTCAGCGCTTTTTACGATCGGCTAAAAGAGGTACTGGTCCAGAACTGATAATTAAATATTAGATCTTGCGGATAGCTGAAGCATGTGAAATAAACTCTTTGCCCGTACAACTGCTTTACGCGTGTCTTTTCTTTGACTTATGATAGGAACCTGAAAAGGGTAATGTGTGATTTCAGATGTATATCTCGTTTCTGATGAAGGTTCCACGAATGTACCCGTGACATCAAGGTTCTGGGGAGCTAATGCAGTATAATTTTAAATTTTGAAAGTATGCTCTGTTGGCCGTTTCAAGTAATTACTTGTTCTTCACTTTACTCACGACCGATCCGAAATTGTTTTGTGTCTAACTCTCAACCGTAATACAATGGTCCTAGTTCGATGTCGGTGGCTGGATAGTGTTTGCCATCGCGTGATGGAACCATCCACGGATTTTAGAAAAAAAAAGCCTAGGACATTGATAACCTAGTGTTACACTGCCGGTATCTGAACTCATTCGTAGAGTCTTCGGTTTTTTATTGTGAATTCTTCAATGATTGTGTTACATCATGTTCTTATGACCACGTTGCAGATCCGCGATTATCACAGGCGTCACCCAAGTGCGCGAGTGGTCGACGAAGGTGAAGACGCGGAGGACCTATTGAAAGAGGAGCCATGGATCGAATTCAGCGGAGAGGTCTTTTTAAAATCATTATGCCTTGCTTTCTCTACCCCTAAACCCTTTCATGATGATGCTTGTGTAGAACCATAAGCTATCAGCTCTTTCCATTTTTCTTGATCAATATTTTCTTTATATGTATTCCGGTTGCCTCTTTCAGGAAGCACATGGGCGATATCTGGACCTGCATGAGCTTTACAATAGTTATCTCAATTCTAAATTCGGTCATTCTATCGAATACTCAGCCTACCTGGAAGAATTTTCGCAAACACACAAGATCACTCGCAATCACAAGCTCTCGAAGTAAGGCCTTTGCTGTTTTAAACATTACTGCCATTAGTCTGTCGAACGATTGTAATTTTGATCGGCATGATCCGTGGGAGAAAAGACTAATTCATACTATTTTGTCAAAATAAATCAATCTGATCATGGAGTTTCGGTGGGCCTGGGTGGCTGGCAGACAGTATAGAGAGTACATTTCTCACTTGACTGAGTACTTGAGGTCATTCTTCCAACGGACACAGCCCCTTCAAGACTTGGATAAAATTTTTGCTAAGGTGAGGCTTACGCGTTTTCACTCATCTTGTCACTTGATGTATATGCAATGTGATTTATAGATCCTGTCCTCTTCCTCTTTGATCATCTAGCACGAGACCCTTCAGTCCTCTTCCTGCACATTTATCGCCCTGCAGGTTAACATTATGTATTTCGTTAAAGATTTTTGAAAGTAAGGAGTCTCCCCTTGTAGCCTTGTCCTGCCAATTTCTTCTGTTGTTAGTATATAATGTGGAGAACAACTATTTCTCCTCGCGGCTCAGCCTCCTCTTTTTATATATAAAGCTTAGGTTGTTGTAGCCTGCTGGGAGTTGATGTGTTATACGGGCCTACTGTACAGGTCGAGGCTGACTTCGAACCTAGCTGGGAGGCTGGTACTGTGGATGGTTGGGAAGACAAGGGTCTTGGAAATGGACAGGCTTCAATCACTCAAGAACCTACGATTGACATTGAGGACTATGATTCGATTGAGGAGCTGATGGAGTTGGGTCCGGAACGACTGAAGGATGTGAGTCAGCAACATCTCTTCCATACCTGATTATTTTTTGTGTTTTTCTGATTTATGTTTCATCTGAACAATGAGGGCTGACCGGGCACTCATTTCGAGAGGAGTTCCATGCAATTTGCAGACAATACGGTAAAGTTTTAGGGACTCATAGCGGTTGGATGCAATATGCCACTTGTGCGCAGCAGTTCCTAAACAGAGACCCGCTTAAGGTACCAGGGAGCGTTTAGTTTATGTATTTGCCTATTCTGATGTTTGCTTTTTCCACAGGCACTGGCCTCTCTCGGATTGAAAAGCGGGGGCACTGCACGACAGCGTGCAGAACGTCTTTTTTTGACCAAGGTATGCACATACTCCGTCCTTTTTAGACGGCTTTTACTCGTCTAAGTCAAGGTCGTTTTACAGTTGGGTGACTGTTGTTCAGATATTGGACTCTGTCATCTGAGCATAGGCAGAAAAAGTTAGCAATTGGAAAGAACTTTTTCCTTTTAATGGTCGACGTATCTGTGTCTGAAGGACTTTGGAAATAAACTAGAAGTTGCTTACCTTACATGGAGTCGTACACTAAGTTCAGGAAAGAAGTGGATTCATAGGTATATCTTTTTTGAGGACATCGTGAGCTATCTAAGATCGTCGTTTTGTTTCAGTCTACCCCGCTTGACGAACTGGATCGAAAGCATTTTGCAAAAGGATATCAACCTGCACAGAAGAAGACCGAGCAGGAGATTGCTCAGCAGATGCAAATATCAAGGGAAGTTGCTCTGGCAGAGTCTCAGATGCAGCGGCTTTGTGAGCTTCTGAATGAGGTCAGTCAAACAACATAAACGAGTTAGTGATAAGCATGACAGAGTTGCCAGATTCATTACTAAGTAAGTTGGGAGTCGAAGATGAGTCGAATTAATTAGTGGTCAAACTACTTTAGCCAGCTCTGTTGATTTTGTCGAATTTATATTGTTTTCTATGTCAATGGCGCCGTAGCGCATTGTCGAGATCAACTTATCCATTCTTTCCTCTCTTTCATCTGTTAAAGGCAATTGAAGAAACGAAGGCACACGTAGGAAGAAAGCAGGCACTGACGTACGAAGAGATGGAAGCCGAGCGAGAGGAGGTAACGTCGCTGATGATGTTGTCTGTGATGAGTTTACGGACGTTTGCTTTTGAAAGAGGTCATGATTATTGTGCTTGCTTTCTGCACAGAGGAAGTGGATGAAATATGGTGCTGTTTTCGTGAATATGTGTTTTGTGAAGTAGCTCAGAAGTGCTGGCTAGCACTTCTGAGGCATTTGTCTTTCTCAGAAACACAAACATGCGATTCGAACGTGTTTCTTTCTTTCACCAAACCAAGGCAATAACAGTCTTGTATTCTGGCACATTAGTTTTGACTTTCTACAAACGCAATTTCTGCGATGATTACAGGAAGAAGTGCAGGCGGAGAGTGAGAGTGATGATGATGACCAACAGATCTACAATCCCTTAAAGCTGCCCATGGGATGGGATGGAAAACCTATTCCATACTGGCTATACAAGCTTCATGGACTTGGCCAGGTATGTCCTGGGAAACTTCGTATATACGATGTCGTGGTACACATTGAGTATGAGTTAACGGCGTCGTATGCTGCCTCGAATCTCTCGATTTGGGATCAAATGAAGATGAAGTCTATAAGTTGATATTCACCGGGAGCTTTTCCACGTTTGGCTTTATCATATCAGGAATTCAAATGCGAGATATGTGGGAACAATAGCTACTGGGGGCGAAGAGCATTTGAAAGACATTTCAAGGAGTGGCGTCATCAGCACGGCATGCGTTGCCTGGGAATACCCAACACGAAGAATTTTCATGAGATAACCTCCATCAAGGTATGCTAAAGTACATATACTGGTGACTGTTGGTCATTCACAAAGACCATGGATTTGAAGTGGGAACATCAGAGTATACATGGTAGTTGCTCCGGGTTAGTTGCAGTGGTGTTATCTTGGCGGAAAAACGGAGAAGGCTTTTTTATTGATTATCATCATCATCATCATCATCATCATTTCGACCACCTGATGTGTACAGGACGCGAGGGCACTATGGGAGAAGATTCAAGAAAGACAAGGAGTCAACAAGTGGAGGCCTGATTTAGAAGAGGAGTACGAGGACCAGGATGGAAACGTGTACAATAAGAAGACCTTTGCCGATTTGCAAAGGCAAGGACTAATTTGAAGTTCCAGTGGTGTACTTCAGTGCCAGGCTTCATACATACCTCTACATGGAAGCACCTTGGGGTTGGATGTAGCAAATTTTGCCTTCGAATCTGTAATTGTATCTGGCAGATCATCCACGTCATGCCTCGGAGTTTTGTGGACAAGAAATGTCAGTCGGTCCGCCTTGATGCAGTCAAGGAAAACTTCTCGTCAGCTCCTCCAACTAGAAATGCCCTTTTGGGGAACTGTGTCTGGTATGACACAATCAGTAGAGATTTTCCAGGTTAGGTGGCTGGAGGATATGCGTTATAATCATGTAAAAAGGAAAATAGTTGAAATTCAAGTCGCCCCTACACCGTGTCGTTATATTTGGGTTTTGCTTACAGGCTTCTATGTGTTGGGCAGTGGTCATCGTGAGTCCTATCGGAATGAATTAACCTGCTGTAACCCATATCTAGAGCGCTGACTTGAATATACTACTGCGAGCTCTTGAACCGACTCGTGATGTGTTCCTCACGTGGATATAACGTGAGACAGTCAACTGAGAAGCAAACCTACACGTTCTTCTAAATAATGGGTTTATCGGAACTACGAATATTAATGAGTTCGGCGTGGAGGCGCGATGCAGGTCTGTTTATTGCTTCGAGCGACTGTTTGTGGGCTCTTCTGCCTTCCTTTCTGACTCTGAGCAATGTCCTTGAACCAAGTTAGAGTACTACGTGCGCCGTTCATTTATGCTGTGCAACGCGTCTTGATTAACAACTTCATCTCATGTCCTACTGAAACGGGTTACCGTAGAATGTCTCTTCCTGTTACAGGGCAGGACTTAGGACGCACTACGCTTGTCCTATAGATACTTTAAGAAAACTGTCTCACGGACAACTAGTTCATTGTTTTCTGCTCAGTTCGGTGGTTTTTCGATCGGTGATGACCGAGTTGTTACGGTTTTTCCTCAGGCAGTTTTGTAACAACTTCGAGGATTTGGCTCAACCTTCATTTACAGTTTCCTTTTACCCGTGAGATTTGTCTATTGTTGTGACTGGTTGGAGAGCTAGACTTGTGCATACTTTACGTGACTTGACTACGGCATTTTGGTTGCTACATTCTATTGTCAGCCTTAACTCGAAGCTGTGACCTGGCATGGTATCAAAGATCGGAATTTTAAGCATCGTGAGCGCAGTTGTTCTCAGCGTTGACCAAGCATATGTTCAAATTACGGAATTCGTGTCATCTTACACAATCGTGATGCTGGCGCCAGCACATTGTCAGTAAGCACAAGCCTTCCTACACTAAGCTTTTGCTGATGCTTGAGTCCGTACATTGCACAAAAATTTAGTAAACAGGATAGAGGTCTAGACTTCCTTGGGTAACAAATGTTTGTCTACTGTAATGCCGTACGGTCACGCAGTCGCAGATTGGATGGACTAAAAGTTGAGCTCCTGTTGTTCGAGTCAATGCGCAATGGTCCGTAGTCTGTCACCGTCGCGAGATCTTTCCGCGAGGAGAAAAGCTGTCACGAGAGCAGGTCGTTCTTTTCAGAAGACAAAATCACAAACCGAAGGCTAATAACAAATCTCTCTGCCAGCGGCAGTTTACGCGTTTTCGGACGTAAGGAGGAGTGATCGGATTCGTAGGGAGTCCGTTGGGGAATGGCCTGACTTGGGTGGTGTCTTTTTGTTTCTTCACAGGAATACCGATGAGCTTTAGTCGTGGAATCCAACCATGGAAAGTGAATTTGTATTAAGGGGAGCACATGCAGGAGCGGCCTTTTGCCTCAACGCAGAAGACTCATACGCAGTGCAGGAGCAGAAACACCACGCAGCTCACATTCCACGTCCAGATGTACACATCACATCGAGGAAGGAGTGACGGAGGAGGTTGGAAATCGGCGACCATGCAAGTGGGCTCTGAGAGATCTTTCCAGCCTTGGAGAAAGCTGCAGACCCCGTCCGTGAGGATGGACGGGCATGTGGGTGGGATCCCGGCACAGAGGCCCATGACTGGTGACTCCGGTCTGCAGGCAGGCAGAGGGCCGCAGTGCTGTCCTAACGTCCGGTGGCAAGTCTCGAGAGGCTATGAGCGCTGCTGCTGCTGCGGTAAGGCGGAGGGAGGGAGGGAATCGAGTCGGGTCAACCGACGCGCGAAGAGACGGACGAGTGGAAGTGGAGCGAGAGAGAGAGAGAGTGAGACATGACACACACGAGGCTGCTGCGGCCTACATCTCGTGAACTACACTCTTGAGGCTCATGATGCAACCTGGCTCATGTATGTCGCTGCTGGTGCTGGTGCTGCCACCGGGCCAGCAAGCAAACAGCCCCAGCCCCAGCCTGCAGCATGATCAACTCCAGTGCACCAGTCCAGTCGCAACGCTGGACCCTCCCTCCCTCCCTCGCTGCTCCAGTCGTGGCCCCTCCCGTCGACCCGACCCCACCCCCCTCTCCCCTCCCCCCCCTTCTCATACTCCTCTGTCTGCATCATTCCCAGATCAGATGATCAGATTATGGCCCTCGCCCAAGCTATCCCGATCCCGATCCCGACCCCGATCAGATCCACGTACCGTCGTCCTCACCCTCACCAGCATACGACGACGCCCGTCGAATCCGTCGAATCCGCCGTCGCCGTCGCAGTCCCCGTCCGTCCGCGCGAGATTCCCATCCGTGGGGCCCACGGGGCCATCCGAGTCCGACAGAGGGCGCAAAGGGCATCCATGGCTGGTCGCCGTTTATCGCGCTTTCCAGCTTTTGCTCTGATGCTTCCTTTCGTTATCTCGCGGCATCGCTCCCCGTCGTCGCTTGCAGCAGCAGCAGGAGGGAGGGAGCGAGGGAGGGAGGGCGAGGGCGGGGGAGGGCCGAGGACGAGGAGGAGGAGGCAGGCAGGCAGGCAGGCCAGCAGAAGCAGCAGCAGCAGCAGCTGCGCCAGAGAATAGGAGCGACGAGAGAAGCGCATGGCGACGCGGGCCTCGCCAGCCTATTTCAACCTTGCTCGCCCGACCTAAGCGGTTTTTTGTTCCTCGGCTCCGCACGCCCCATCACTCTCCCCCTCTCTCCATCTCTCTCTCACTCCCTCTCTCCTTTCCCCTGTCCATCTCCCTCTCCCTCCATCGCTTGCTCGCTTGCTGGCAGGCTGGCGTGGCTGGGCTCGAGTTGTGGAGTATTCGAGTGTGTGTTAGTTTGGTCGAGAGTTTGTCGAGGCGCGGATTGAGTTCGTGAGACGACGGACGACGAAGAAGGTGGCTCCGAGGGATTGGGAGGAGGATTGCGCGAGTGGTTTGAGCATGGAGGCAGAAAGAGATCAAGAAGAAGCCACGGGAAGTGGACTGGAAGGACGACGGGCGGCGTCGAGCGGTGGTGCCGAGCTTTGTAGTGGTCGTGCGCAGGGCTCGTTAGCAGCATTGGTTTGAGAAGGTGGCGAAGGAGGAGGACGAGGAGCTGGCGCTGTTTGGTGCTGGTGCTGGTGCCGATTGCGCGGCGTCGTAGCATTAGCAGCAGGCGGGTTGTTGTCGAGTGAAGTGTGAGTGATTTGGGCAGTCGGTTGTAGCGAGAAGTAGACGTAGACGTGGCGAGGAGCGAGAGTGAGATTGAGAGCGAGAGTGAAAGGAAGAGAGGACGAGCTCTGGAGTCCCCATGTCCTCGGAGCTCGTCGTCGGCGTCGGAGTCGAGTACCCGAGCAGGGCATGACGGAGACGGGCGCTTACAAGCATTGGGTGGGGAGTCGGAAAACAGGTGCTGCATTTACTGACTCACTGACTCTCTGACTAGCCTGTGCGTGTGTGCCGAGTATCTTCGAGCATTCCCTATAGTGTGCGTGTGCTGTGGCTCTGGTCTTAATGTGATGCCATTCGTGTTAGCAGCTAGCGGTTCGATGATACTCCCGCAGAGTGTTCGAAGTCGCATCGGATTGTGGATGCTGCCCTAGGCGCGTGGAGAGAGAGACACACAGAGAAAGACAGGGTGTGTTTTCCGGAGCGAGCAGATGGTGAGATGAACCCTAGAAATGCCGGTGGCAGCCTCGCGGTGACAGCATTCTGCGGACGAGGAATGAGTAGGATGTGCAGGGCAGGCAATTGGGGGCATCGCTTCCGAGACCTACATTCGGGCAATTCCACCGCCAGGGCATGACGGAGGCCAGTGCCGGCAAGTCGAGGAACCAGGGGCACACGAGAGGCCACGACGAGAGGTTCGAGCGAGCAATTTCCGCGGTCGGTCCGCGCAGCAGCAGCATCGGCTCGCTCTCGCTCTCGTTCTCGTTCAGCACAGCTTCTCTATGGGGTGCGCTCACGGCAAGAGCCAAGATGCATACTCGCCGTCCGGAATCGATGAGTACCCCCGAGGCTATCAGAGCCACCAGCACCATCAGCCGATTCAGAATCAGCAGCTTCAACATCAGCAGCAGCAGCAGAAAATCCCTGTGTCGCCCGTGATCATCAAGGAGTTCCGCAAGACGGCGTCGCCCAAGCTGCCAGTGCGCCTGGCGGACAAGGGCACGCCGAAGCTCGAGGCGCTCGACGCGGACGACACCTTCCGGCCGAGCCCGGTCTCGAGGCCATTGTCGGGCCTGCTGAATGCGCCGCAGTCGCCCTACTCTTCGGATCTGGACATGGCGGACCTGCCGCGGTTCTCGAAAGTGTCGAACACTTTCCTGCCCACGAGTGGCTCGAAGGTGGTGAGCGTGCCCGACTATGGCTACGAGCTGCGCTACTCGTTCCTCACGCAGCGCGGATATTATCCCGAGGCGCTCGACAAGGCCAATCAGGACAGCTACTGCGTGCACACGCCCTTCGGGCAGGACGCGAACGACCATTTCTTCGGGGTCTTCGATGGCCACGGCGAGTTCGGGACTCACTGCTCGCAGTTCGCGCGCAAGCAGCTATGCGACAATCTGCTGCGCAATCGCCACTTCAAGACGAACGCGCTCAAGGCTTACCACCAGGCCTTCATCGGCACGAACCTGCAGCTGCACCGGCACCACATCGACGACTCGATGAGCGGCACCACGGGCATCACAGTGCTCGTGCGCGGGCGCACTCTGTACGTGGCGAACGTGGGAGATTCTCGAGCTGTGGTGGCGGAGCGACGAGGGCGCACTCTGCAGGCCGTGGACCTGTCGAACGACCAGACTCCGTTCCGTGGCGACGAGTGCGCTCGAGTGCGCCTGTGCGGGGCGCGAGTGCTGACATTGGACCAGCTCGAGGGACTGAAGAATCCCGACGTGCAGTGCTGGGGCGGCGAGGAGGATGACGATGGCGACCCTCCGCGACTCTGGGTGGCCGCCGGCATGTACCCGGGGACGGCCTTCACGCGCAGCATCGGTGACACGGTTGCCGAGCAGATCGGCGTCATCGCCGTGCCCGAGGTGCTGATCATGGAGCTCACGGCGCAGCATCCGTTCTTCGTCATCGCCAGCGACGGCGTGTTCGAGTTCCTGTCCAGCCAGGCCGTGGTCGACATGGTTGCCAAGCACGCCGACCCGCAGGACGCCTGCGCCGCCATTGTTGCTGAGTCTTACCGCCTCTGGCTGCAGAACGAGACGCGCACCGACGACATCACCATCATCGTCGTGTTCGTCGACCACCTGCGCCCCCCGACGTCCTCCAGCGATGGCGACGAGGACCTCGACCAAGAGGCGGAGGGCACCCTTCAGCAGCAGGAGCAAGGGGCCGACGGGAAATCGGAGGAGCAGGAAGCGCTCGTGGTGAAAGGCAAGACGCTGGATACTCTCGTGCTGGGCGACCCGAATGGGAGCGCAGGGCGGGGGGCTGGGGGCGAGGGCGTGGTGTCGCCATTGAAGGTGGAGCAAGGGGGCGCTAACCACATTCTGCTGGACGGCGTGGAGGATCTGCGCGGCAGCCGCAAGCAGTTCTTCACAGACCTGGGCGGGTCGCTGCTCGAGCACTCGAGGGAGGCGCAGGAGTCGGGCGAATTGTCGCCCCTGTGCCTCAATTCGGCCGAGAATTCGCCGAGCCCTGCCGTGACAGGGGCGGATTTCGCCAGAAGGGCCGAGTCTGGGGATCGGCAATCCGCCCCATCCTCCGAGAGTCAGCAGGCTGGCGCTTGACCACCGACGCGAGGAGGGACGGAGGGATGGAGGGATGAAGGGGCGGCGCGACGAGGAGGAGGAGGAGGGAGTGAGCTAGCGAGGATATATTAGTCGACGTGCACCGGGGGCGCCGTTTGCAGCAACATGGGTGGAATAAAGGCATCGATCGGGCCTCTTCTCTTGCTCTCTCCGGCTCTGCTGTCTGTCTTGCTCCTCCCCGCGATGATGGATGGCGGACGGGCCGGAGAGCACCCAGGAATCTACCGGAAGGCAAAGTGTGGCTGAGTGACGAGGCTCGAGCTCTCCGTCTGTCTGTCGGTGTTTTGTCGGCCGCCGGGCATAATTTGGGCAGGAGCATGGCCGAGACAGCCGATTCACTTTCGAGTTCGGGGTTCCGGAGAGCAATGCAGGATGTTCGGTTGTGCACCTTGGGAAAGGTACCTTGTGCAAGTTGGCGATGTATATACCGTAGAAATGGTAGTGAAAACCTCTTGACGACATTGCCTCGAGGGTGCAAAACCTTCCGTCTCTTTCTTCGGCATGGCTGTGGTTGTGGTGGGTCTGGCCGGCCCCCTTCTCCCTCTTACCGGTGAAGAAGGTGCCCAGTGTGTGCGACCTGAATCCCCTCTGGTGGATGTGGTTTGCGAGGAATGACACCGTGCTCAACCATCTCGTGCGCCGGTAGGACATTGAAAATGAATGCATTATGGGGGTAGCGGATGGTTGATCACGGTCCGATGGCTTGTTCTGGACCTCACGACGGTCGAACGCAGAGCCTCTCACGCGTCTGTCCTCTTCGATCGGTCTGGGATCCAGACCCGGGCTTGCTGTGATAATGTCAGCCCAGCTGAGCTCGTGGTGCAGGGCTGCTAGGCACAATTTTTTTTGTTGGTTAAAGTCAGATCAGAAGATAGAGTTAATTGTCAACTGAAAAGTAGTAGTAGCATTGTCGATATATAAAATTAACATGCCTCTTTGGAGGAGTTGAAAGCATCTGTTACATTTGCTCGCCATGTCCTCTGTATGAATTCTCCTGCCTCAGTGCAGTGCTATGATCATTCCCGAAGGTTGTATGTTTGCCATCTGCTGCCGGTCGGTATGTCAGAGAGCCCAGTGCAGTCAGCAGTCAGTCAGTCTGTCAGTTTCGACATTTCCTTAACCCCATGACCAGCCCCACCATTGTGAAGAGAAAGGAGTTAGTGTTGTGTCACCTCGTGAGCAGCAGAGGCCCCTTCCCCTTCCTACATCTCTCACCATGGCCATTATCGGCATCGTATGACAGCATCGCTGCCACTTTCTCCGCCCGGGGAACCTCGTCCCACCTTCCGGAGGAGAAAGGCAATAGTTCTCACCTCCTTGCTCTGCCTTGCCCCACCTTACCTTGCTCTGCCTTGCCTTGCCTTGCCTGGCTTACGCGATCGCTTGCCACACCGCCCGCCAGAGGTCTCGCGGGCTCGCTGGCCGGACGACAGTGATATGCCCGTGGCAAGTGAGTTGTGTGTGAAGCAATCCCCCCCACCCCCCACCTGAACCAGCCAAGACCGGGGCTGGCAAGTGGGGTCCCGTCGGGCCTTAGCTCTTGCCCCGCCCCTCCCCTCGCTCACTCGCCCCCTTAACCCGCTGGTGGGTGAGCTGCACACGGTCCAGGCACAGGTCCTGCACAGGAGAAATGTCGACAATCTGCATGCTGTGTGCACCCCACCACATTCCCTCTCGACCAGCTGCATCAGCTCCCTGCAACACGACCATTTTCCATCCTTCGCAGGGCCGAAAAGCCCACTGCGGATGGAGAGAGCAGTGCAGCCTCGGAGCGCATGCAGCACCAGGGTCCCCAAGGCTGTGCTCCAGGCATTCTTTTAAGAAGACGAAGCGAGAGCTCGTGCCCATGAGTCGGTCAGGCTCCCGGGTCAGCAATGATCAGCAGCGATCGTGATAATGTGTCTGCCCTGAATCAAGGGTCAAAAGGCCTGGGGCAGACTCTTTTCTGTGGGGGGAAATGGGAAATCATCATCATGGACTCGCTCCCCTTCCACCTTCTTCTGATTGCAGAGTTTTCGCCCACCCGTCCCAGAGCGTGGGAGTCTGGGAGCGAGCCTGCGGCCTTTTTATCTGGACGTCACATTGGGAGCTCCTTTTTTATCTGTCCGAGTTTAAAGCTCGCCCATGTTCGGTGTCCGAGTCAAGCCGCCCACTTTCGTAAGGCTTTGGCTTACGTGCCCTGAAGTGGAATATTCAATCGCTAACGATAAAGGCTTATCTGGTAAGTTATAGTGAGCAGCCGCAGAGATCCAATGCATTTAATGCCCCGTGATCTAGCAGTGGCATCGAATGCTCCCGAGTGCTTCGTAAGCATAATGTCACGCATTACCGCCATGCTTTCTCTGCATTCCCCGTTGGGTTACCACCACCAGGCAGGCTGGTCTCTTGCCCTGATATATATGTCACCATGGCCTCGCTGGAATTCAAAGCCCCAAATTTCCTGTTACCTCATGCAGAGGCATCATCGCCAGAATTGGTGTCGACGAAGCTCCATCTGCAGCTCTGATGGACAGTCTGGCTCCTTGATATGGATCCTTCATCATCCATCGACGAATTCCTGCTCTGATGGACCTCCGAATCCTGTGATTTTCCCTTCTGTTTGGCCCGAGTTACTGCTGAGCTTCAGCTGAAGCTCTTCTTCTGCGAGGAGGGTATGGATGCTGCTGGTTACCATACCACTTGGGCCAGGGACGAGGCAAGTGCGGCTCGAGAATAATCAGGTACTGACTTTTCGACGCTTGATTCCAAACACGGAGATATTCTAGCAGGGACAGTGGGTTGGCTGGGCTTTTAATTGGTATGTCTTTCCACGCAAGCTTGATCAATGTCCTACCGCCTGCCCACTAATGTTATCTCCACTCTGTGTCCTACTCCCTGGCCTGGCTATTGTTAACCTCCTCTCTTTTAGCGTGGAGCTGGATCCACTCTTCGTCGCCCACGTTGGATCCTGCTTTTCTGTTCACGCCAGGAAATCCTCGAGCGCAGGATCGCAGCAAAAAGATATACATTCCTCCACGGGGACAGGATGGCGGATCTCATCCACTGGATCGCCAGAATTCGGGGCGTCGAAATATCGATCGATCCAATCTGAATTTGCCCACATTAGAATGCGCTTGCTCTGTTTGGGGAGGCGGCCAAAGTGGGAGAAGGGCGGGAGACTCAAAGACGGAGAGACCTCGGCTGGCGGATAGCTAGCACAGCAGGCAATCTGTCTGATTGGCCGAGTGCTCATGTGCCCCAACAGCAGAACCACAAACACCAGAACAGGACAGTCGGATCTGCATTCGGTGCAAACCGAATCCACATGTGGTCGAGCAATCCCCTGCTCGCTTGGTTGCCGGAACCAACATGGCATGCAATTTCGAGTTTATTTCCTCGTGCATCCATCCATCCTGGTGCAAGATGCGAGATGCCCCGTCCCATCTTTCCGAGAATTTCTGATGATGGTGGTCGACTCACTCAGCAATTACTCCTCTCCCTCTGACCATGCACCCTCGCACCTCCGATCTCGGTTTCCTCCCTCCCACTGGCGTGCTCAAACACGACTCTGCCCGATCTATCGATCAAATATCATCGATAAATCATAAATCAGATCAGCAACAGGGGAGGGGATGGTAATGCACACCTCACCATCTCCATCAGCGAGATCACATCACATCACATCACAGCAAAGATATGGCAGAGTTATGCACACGCACTCATTCACTCCTCCACAGCGACAGAGGAGAAGGATATGATATTGTTTCGGCCTCTTGTGGCAGATCAGCTGCACCTGAGGAGGGTCGTCGGTTAAGTCTGGAACAGACTCTGACTCTGAAATATCTCGATCGATTGCTCTTGTTCCTTCTTTGACCGAAGTCCGCAGCTGCAGGCACGAGCTGCAAAGGTTCGTTTTAATGGAGGCAGATTAGGGGGAGGGGGACGACTGAGTAATTCAGTAATTCAGTAATTCAGCCATGGAAGGATGGCCCCATCGAGCCGTACAGGAGGAAGATGATTCCCTTGTGGATCTCAATTTCTTATCCGTGGTAAGGAATGGCGAGGCAAGGGAAGGTGGATAAAGCTGATGTACTCGCAGGTTACGTGCCGATTCGAGGACGGAGAAAATCCAGGCCGAATGATTATCAACAGAAGGAAAGGAATGAATGAGTTCTGAGCTCTGAGCATGGCAGTTTCACGTCGTTGCTGGCATGTCATTATTGATGGAGGCCTTCCCTTCCCTTCCCTTCCCTTCCACTCTTGGCGAGCACCAGCTCGCTTGCTCCATGGGAAGATTCCTATTTGCCTGAATTGCAATCGCCAGCGCCTCGGAATTCGAGGGCCTGGCACCGCCTTCCTTCCTTCCTTCCTCGAGGATGGACAGCTCGAAGCCATTGCTGGTTGTCAAGCTCGCAGCTCTTAAATTAGCTCCATCGCTGCCAGTTTAGCAGTCCTCACCTCGGCACGAGACTGCTCCTCCCTCCTCTCAGTGTCAACTGTCGGCCCAAATTAGAGACCCTCGAGGGAGACTTCAGAAAGTGCTCGTGATATGAAAGCTGATCCCCAAAAAAATTTTAGCCACCGAGTAAGAAAACAAAAAGGGTTGGAGTAGAATCAAACTAAATTGATACTTGAATGTTATCTTATCTTGTGAATAAAATATCTGAACTTAACTGAAAAAAAATGAAAAAAAAATGTGCTGGATATGTTGACATTTAATTTAAGGAGATTGATATTACTCTTCGTCTAGTGGGGCAATTTCTCATTGACTCCAATGTAATCCATTTCCATAGTAACACAATATTGATCTTTCTACATATCATATAGTTAGGAATGTTGGATGGATTTTATTTCACTACTCTATATATATAGACAAGGAGATTAACCATTAACTGCCCTGAAATTGTTTCAAATTCCTCTCTCTATACATTTGATTTACTCCACACATCAGATTGGGGGAAGATGATATCGAGAGAAATCTAGCTGGCGGCAGGGAGATGCGTCTGCGAGTTATCCACCAGTCGTGGTCTCCTATAAATAATTATAGCGCTGTTTCGCTGTTCCGTTGGAGAGATAAAACCTTACGGTTACAACAGTTTTGCTTAAGATGGTGTCTGCCAATAAGGCTCTTAAACATTAAGAATAAGGTCAATTTTAGTGGTTGTACGACATGATGTGATCTTCCCACTCTTTTTGCTGCTATGGAGTATTAATCGGGTTCCCATGGTGAAGAACCCATCCTCATGTTTGGCTAAAAGCCATGGAATGAATGGCAATGGGAGGCACCCACGTAGCTGAAAATAATTGTCTGGCCAATGCTGGACCTGCGCCTTCGTGGGAGGTAATCAATCAGAACTGCAAGCCAAGGACAAAGATTCTTGAACATGCTTGATTTTATTCGCCAATGACAAGAGAGAGAAAAATGCTTATGGTACAAATTGCCTGCGACTTTGCTTTTCGAGACTGGTTGGGGCTGGGGCTCGACTGCCATACCGTTGAGGAGCAGGCCATCATCGGTTGGCAATCATCAGCTTGCCAATATTATGACTTGAACCATATGCTGGGACCCGTGAATATCTAATACGATTGTCAAATCTAGCTTGTCCCTTCTCAAATTACAAACTGAAAAGTTGTTATCTCCCGTGAGAATGTTGTAAATTGTGCTTCTATTAAATTTCTTTTGTACTGATGCAAAAAGACGGAGGAATTGCATGATGAATAAAATCAAGTCAAATCTGAAGGATAGTGTTCATTAACTTGGACCACAGACAAAAACAAGTCTGAACAAGGAGATTGAAAAGGTCTTGCGCTCATCACGTATAAGTAACTTTCTCTCCATATGTTTGTCATTATCCGATGTAAATGCGATGCAATTGTAAATGAGGCTTGCTCTTACCATTGCTGCTGGATGATCTGCCATGTATTATGCACATCAATAATTAAAATTCTTGATCGACTTTAATTGATGGAATTGATTGATACTTTCTTGATGGATTTGAATGGCATCATTTTCATCGACTTGAAGACTAATGGATGGTATCAAATGGAATCTTGATTGTCTTTGCTTAAATTCAAATAATTTTTTGAGTTATATCAAAATTATCATGTAGCATAAAGCAACAATTTTAGCTAGTTACTTATGCATGACTAGATTTTGCAATTGGTGTTAATTATGTAGTTTGTGACTTATACTCCTAACTGTAAGTAAACATATGAACCTTTGACTGAAATACGTAGTCATATTAATTCTTACATCAAATATAATATGACCATTTATCTTCTAAGAGCGCAATATTAATATCATTGCAAATGGAGGAAAATTTTAAATCAAAAAATGAATATAATATGATCATAATTTCTATTTTATGATTTTAATTTACGAGCATAATATATATATAAATATTTCAGAAAAAATAGAAGATTATTTTTTAAAAGTAGGATTATAATGTATATTAGCTAATGCAAGATATTTTTATTTTTGAATAACGGTAGAATTTGTGATAGATAGTACATTTTTTGTGAAACTATTATAAAAAAAAATGAGAAAAATTTAAGTTTTTTAAATTTGTTTTTGAAAATTTTAGAGACTAAGTCATATGCATCAATTTTCATTCAAAGAAATACATTTTTTAAGATAAAATTAGAATATTTATTTGTTAAAATTAAGCTAAAATCCATCAACATTTTTCAAAAGTCTTAAATATGAATAAGATGCAAGTTTTTTTTCACTTTATTGAATACCAAAAGCTTTGCAATATGTGAATGAATATATAGTCATGTTGAGAAATTATTGACAAAGCTAGATCATGAGTTGTATGATAGATGAACATGAAAATATTTAAAATTTTATTAACAATTTTTATGTTTATGTATTTTGAGAATACACAAACATAACTAAATGCAAAGAATTTATTCTTTTCAGATAAATATTTATTGAAATATATTTGTAATGGCATTCCTAGTTAGTAGATGTTTCTTCTACAAAATTTATTTAACAATCGGAGCCGATTATGATATTAACGTCTTGCATACTGGAACTGTTGTAATAACCTATAGTTGCATTAAGAAGCCTGATTATCGAGGTATAGAGCTTGAATACTTGGATATTGAAATTGAGTAATAGATACAGCAATAGATAATGTGATGAAATAAGTATCTCTTTGACAAAAACGTAAAGATAAATCCACAACCATAAACTTTAATAAAAAGTAATATCGATCACCTCCTTCGGTGATATTATCACGATATGAACCCCTGTAGTTTATAACTGATCCAAAAGTTTAGAAGGAAACTGTGTTTGTGCAGAACTTGGTGCCATTTCATGCCCTTTCAACGTTACCATAGGTTGTGAAATGGGCGTGGACTCATACCACTTCTTTTCTTATTATTTTCGAGTGGAAAAAAATTGTATTTCCAGAAGATGTCTAAGATGCAGGCAGCTAATGTCATCTCTAATGAGGAACATACTATCATTAGTGACGTAAAATTACAAACCATTTGTTTTTAACGTGTAAATCTACTCAATAAGAACATTACGTCACTATTCCTAATAGTGACATGATTCTCTCCAACAGGGATAGTTCTAGTGTAATTTCGGAGTTGAAATTACTATCATGATCACAACACATAGCTAGTGAGAAAAATAGAATGTGGCATTCGTTTATTCAAAGGTACATCTCAACAATTCACCCTATTTGGGTCTAGTAAAATTATTCGCTACATATATTATCATGAATTGTTTCACTCAAAATTTTGTGTATTAATTTAAATAAAAATGCAATCATAGTTCCTACAATTAACGTAGGAACAACGTAAAACAATACAAATGATGTACAAATGTTGGTAATTTTGAAACCAAACAACACACTTATAGAATGTATTAGGATTAATGTAATGTATTATAAGAAGATTTGATTTCTTTTTATAAGTGACAATTCACAATAGTGACATCTAATCTTAACACCGATATATATTACTATTAAGAGGTTATATTCAAAATTAAGCATCTTCATATAGAAACATCCAACTCTAATACCAATGTAACCTACTTTTAAAAACTTGTACTCAAGGTTAAACATGTTACTTTGGTACGTAAATAGTGACGTAAAGCTCTACCACCAATGTACGGCACATATGCAATCTGCATTCCATTTCAAAAAATAAAAAAAAAACGAAACCACGGGGGCCATGGGGCACACAGAAGGGTTGCGCATATCTTCCGGTCTAACGCGAACTCAAGCAAAGTAGACTGCAAAGCTTAAGGAAAAGTGGGCCAAGTCAAGGAAACCTCCGAGACTGCAGTAGACGGAGGCCAGAACGGACGGAGTGCTGAGCTGGGGCCATTGGATGACCGGAAAAACATGCGCAACTGCAGTTCACGGACACCGACAGGTGTCCTGGAGACCGGAGTACATTTGAGCTCAATTTCCTCTTGTACCTTCCTTCCTTTAATGTGTCTCTTTCTGGGTCCATATTTTTATCGACGTCCACCGACACATATCTACAACCCTGTCTCTACGTACTTATATAACACATAGGAAGGTATCCATATACTTTATATGTACGATATAACATTATCTGCAGCCTCTCAGTTTCCTTTTGCTTTGCTTGTAATTCTGGCATGGCATAGTACTAGCAGAAAAAACTTGTATACCAATTGTTGCAGGCAATATCGATAACCAAGCTCCGAAAAGAAAAAATATTTCCAAAAATGAGAACAACAAGAAAACACAATGGTTAATTTTTTGAAGCTCGAACTTTGATAATAGCGTGGCGTGAATGAGTGAAGAGAAAATAGTATTAGTGAATTATGAGGTATTATTTTTCTTTGGTTCATTGTGTTATATATATCAGTTAATAATATACTAAAACATAGTTCTGCAAATTATATGTCTAATCGAATTATAAATACGATGACTTTGGCTTTGTGGGTCCATTCTTTCAAACAAGACTTTATTGCTAATCGAAACAGAGGCCGCCGTTCTGCTATACAATACACGGCACAGATTGCCCTCGTGCAATCTATTCCATCGACTCCACAGCTCTCCTCTTTTGAACGAGCATTTATTTGAAGATTCCCAACCTCCTTTCCGAACAGGTGATCAAAAGTTAGGAACTTCTGACCTTCCCCATGCACTTATTTGTTTAATAATTCTTTATAGATTCATGTGGATGTTGATATCAGTAGGTTCGTGTGAATGTTTGAAGGGCGTCAGCAACGCGTGTGATTGATTGCCCAATCGATCAATTCATCGAGAACTCGGATCTCGAGATTTGGTTAACATGCCCGATGATCTTCAGTGTCTTTTTTTTTTTTTCTCCTCTCTCTCCAGAATACATCCAAATGGTCCTACCAGTGCCTCATTGACCAAAATTCTTCGAGAGGAGTGCCTGGCAAGGATAGCATAGACCCAAACAGTTGCTCTTCTGCTCACCATGAATATTTCGGGAATCCGTATGCTCACGTCATTACTCTTCCTCGCAAGGACCTTCGATAATGCAGTACGTAAGCGAGGCTCGAACACATATTTCGATTCACACATTGCTCGCCCCCCTTCAAAAAGGACAGGGACAAGACCAAGAGCATGAGCATAAGCATAATCCATAAACCTTCCTGCACAACATTCTACGATATACGTCGAGAGGAAGATTCTGAAAACATGGCCAAACGCTGGGTCAACATGAGGAATGTTTACAAGGGGAGCTGACACGTAATTTTCATGTAGAATCTATGTGTACGTGTACTTTCATTTGTTGTTGGAGATTTCGGTTGGTCAATAAGGGTGGATAGATTCTGAGAGTAAAACTGATTCGGCTGGTTGCTGCTGCTGACTGGAGTACCGGGGTCCATCTGATAAGCATGAATATTCATGCCACGATAACGGACAGATATAGAGAAAAAGTGATAATATATAGAAATATGTATTTTTTCATATATATATTTATATTATCATCTCGTCAACCGAGCTTCCTTCCAGTCTCTGCAGACATGGACTGAGAGGATGGATGTCATGCACCAGATCAATATTATGCTTCTGGGAACAGATCATAAATTCAGCACCTGGATCGTTTGTTTGTTTGGATGATGTGTACGTTTCACTTTTGGGATCGGTTGGGGATTTGACATCCACGACGTGATCTGCATTGCGAAGAGGATAGAGAGCAGGGGGAGGGAAGCAGTTCATGCGGTGATTCCGTTGCCTCCCTCCCTCCACCTGAAACCGACACAACATTGAACCTGAACTCTCCTTTTGGTCGGTCCATCGTGTTGGAAAGAAGTGCAAAAGGTGTGAGTGCACTTGTGAGTTATGGAGGAGCTCATTAAAGCATGCGGTGAGCAGCAGATCCACATATGGCGACCAGATTCAGTCTGACCTTTGGAAACTGGGAAGGGATCTGAAGATTTGGACGTCGTCAAAAGCGAAATCTGTGATTCTCATCGACAGCCTTCACGTCCGAGCTATGGACGTGAAGGCTCGAGATTTGGACATGGATCGATGTAGGAGCAAAGCACTGGAAGGACAGTAAAATGAGGCCGAGGATGAATTTAATCAGAATCATGGAGGAGCCAGATTCTAATTATTACTCTCGTAACTGTAGGAGGACCTCGACCGCGGCATGACAATTCTCATCCTTCGCTTGTTGTTCATGATCGACTGACCAGACCGGATGCAAACAGGGGCGAGAGGAACGATGGATTTGCGCCTGCACTGCTAAATATCGTAAACAAATATCTGTCGAACGGACGAAAGGAGGGGCCGGTGCTGGACGGGTGTGGACGACCCACTCGTCTAACTGACAAAAATATCTGCAGGATTTGTCAAGCTCGGATTGTGTCTCATGTTCGTTCGTTTGTTTGCTGACTCCGAGCATCTGGTCTTGGTCTTGTCCATGGCTGCGTACCTCCTTCAAGTGGCACAACCGTGAATCCCTGTAGCTAATGACACCTTTGTGCACGAGCTGCCGCTGCAGCTGCAACTGCAACTGCAACCATCCTGCTCGGGAACCGGTTGACTACCTTTTCAAAAATAAAATACCTTTTAATACTTTAAATTCCATAATTCGATTGCAGTTGCAAGAAAAGTGCCATCTCATGATTGCCTTTCTTTATCCTTTTTTTTTATTTTAATAATCTGATGCGTAAATGGTTAGTGCATTGTGATCTGCTTTGATCTGATTTTTGGTCATCCGATGGAGTGCCTGAGTGCTGGAGAACGAAGCTGGTCTTAGATGAGCCCTGAAGTTCTTCGAGGCGCTAGACTGGGCCAGAGAGAGGGAGTGCGTGATTCATTACAATCCATCTTCTTTCACGCTGGTTGCTGACTGCGACTGTAAATGGATTCCATTTGTAAGCTTGATCCAGTGTCTTGTATCAGCATTTTGGCACTATTTAGCGAAGCAAAGATGAGGGAGGGAAGATTTAGAACTCTAATATGAAAAATCTTATCCACATTATAGAGTGTTGTGATTTAATTTCAGAGTCAGACCATAGCAATAGTTCAGTTTCCTTAGTTTTAAGGTTTAAGTTGAGGGGTTTCTTAGCTGTGGTTCCCATGGGGGCCAACGATCCATAAGCCACCGAAGTCTAAGGTTTTGAATTTGTGTATGTTGAACATGAAAACTTTGTATATTGTTGTCTAGTTGATAAAGCAATCATAGTCAAGAGTCCACTTTGCGAATGATAATTCCTTGAGATAATGATCACATCTGAGAATGTGAGTGCTGGTTGCTGAGACGTGGAGGTAGCATTCAAGCTGATTTGGACTGGTGTGGTCTCCAATGATAAGAAGAGGGTTGTGTCCAAATCGTCCAAGCAATGGCAGGTTCTAGTGAGTACAAGGGAATCATGATCTACAAGTGATCCTCATGGATCACACTTTCACAAGGGTGTTCAAAATTGGGCTAAAACACAAATGGATATGACGGGACCGAAAGAAGCCTTTGCTTTTGTTCCAGAGTCGTGGGCTGGGGGTTGTTGCATCCCTCGCAGCGATGCGAATCTAACGTCGAAAGGTGTCGTTTTTTGGGTGCATAGCATGGGCAAGCTTTCCACCCGATTCTTCCCGATTCTCTTTGTTGGTTTTCTCGCACAGTGAATACAATTTCTCTCTCTCTCTCTCTCTGAAACCGTCTCACGAGCCGCAGCAGCTTCAACGAGCAAGTTAGATGGCGAGCAGTTTCCCAAACACCTTTAGCGGCGGATTCTTCCAAATCTTCAGTCGTCTGCAGCAGAGCTCGACATACCAGCGAGAGGGAGGGAGGGAGGGAGGGAGGGAGAGGTAGGGAGAGTTGTCCAGAAGATGTTCTGGCTGCTGCTGAGTCATGGAAGGAGGAGGGCTCTCCCTCTCTCATCCGTGGAGCAGATTGTTTCTTTGTCGGGCAGCGAGGCCATCGTACATGAACTGAACTGTCTCTCTGAGTGTGCCAGGACCTGTCCGTTTGTCGGACAGATGTAGCTGCGCTCATATGATTTATGCAAGTGAATGACAAGCCGTGGGTCGAATTAAGTCCAGCTGAGGATATCGATGAAAAGAGGAGAGAAGCGAAGGGAAGGGCTGGAGCCTTAATATGAGACACCGGCCAGCGTGCTGCCAAGTTTTCATAGCCTCAAGTCGTTTGTTTGTGTGACTCCATAGACCAGAAGAAGAACCTTCGACCCTGTCTATGCGTACATGGTTTCAAGCTTCGAGAAGAGCAGCTTTGACCCAGGCATGCAGATCTTCCTTCTACTCTACAATCTTCACTGGATGATCGATTTCTCGAGAATCGTCTTGTTAAAATTGTGTCCGGGTGAGAATGAGAATTCAATTCGACAACCAGTCCACCGAAAAGTAACGGTAGATTCTTTCACGCAAACAGGGGAAGAAGAGAAAAATAGTGAACCGATTTAGAAACAAGCCATTGCACCGCTTCGCAATCACGAATCAGGACAGATGCTTCGAATCTCTTTGCTGGGTTCTCAACGCTGGGTTCACTTTTACTTCTATGCACAGGGTCTCAGAGACGATTCTACCCCCAGTTCATTCTCAACTTGCGTGTCATCGAACTGTATTGCAAGACACATGAACACTGAAGTCGACAGGCAATTTCAAAAAGTCAGATGACATATTAAGCTGCAGAATCCACAAGCAGCAGTATCTCTATCACAGAAGATGCGAGAAGATCCATTTAGACTTGACACCTCTTCTGATGGTGAGTTGAGCTGTCGAACTGGAAACTCCAATTTGGCATCAACTCAGTGGCCAGCACAGGAATGTGAGAGATGCGCTGGAGTTGAAGTTTGATGTCTTGACTGATCCGACTCTGGTGGAAGTTCCTGCCCTCTGCTCGTCTGACCTCATGGGGGCCATGGCAGCCCCAGTAATATGAGCAGCGCAAGGCAATCCTGCATCATGGCAGGCTCAGGCACAGTTCGGTTGGGCAGACGTGGTCGAGTGAGGATTCCTGAGAGCTACTCAGCAAGGCATGAACTCCGTCATGTGAAGGCGTACATCTTTTCGACCTCATTGTTTATTCATATCTCTCCAACCCTGGCTTCGACCGAGTCCGTGAGCTGGAAGAATTCGTAAACAATGCTGAAGCCATGTCCACAGAGTTTGATATACTCAAACTTCAGTAGGTCAGATGATGATCAGCTCGTTGACTGACTTGACTGTCCTGAGCACAGTACAGTACAGCACTGCAGTATTCCTGTTCTTCGTCGTCTGCCCATATGATAGTCCTATGAGTACCCTCCATTAACCTCCTAGGTCCATCATTCCTCACTCCCTATGTTCCCTCACAAAGCCTGAACTGTCTCGCTATTTTCAATACCAAAGAGTACATCGTAAAGCACCAACATCGATCATGGCAACCTGCAACCTCCATATGTAGAAAGGTGCAGCAGCAATTATAAATTTGTGTAATGAAGGCAGAACCTTTACATCTGCCACCGTAGGCTAGACGACTTTTCTCGAGCAAGCCTTGCCTCCATCTCTCGCCTACTACAGATCGATCGATCCGTCTGTAAGCCTTGGACTGAGGCAGGAGCTGGGGCCTCATTCGTCAGTCTGAGATGGATTGAGAGGTCGGGATCAATTTTCAGTAAGCAAATGTACTGAAAAGTGTTGCAAATGTGGAAAAATCAAGCACATAATGATTGAACTAGCCATGCAATAGTCCCAGGAACGAGCCTTGAAGAGGTTTTGGGAAAGGACTGTGTTTGTCCGGAGGCAGACCGAGGTCAAGTTTGTGCTCGTCCGTTTCTGCAGCGAGTGGACTGATTTCAAATTGTGGTGAAACCGACTCCAAACGGAAAAACAGAGAACAGTAATCCACAAGAGCAGCAGCTCAGCAGCTCAGTCCTGACAGTGCGCAGAGCTTAACTCGGGTTCATGGAAGCAGGATATATATTTCCAAGGGAAGATGACGAACTAACAATGAAAGGCAGATTGAGTGAAATGAGCTGGAAATCAATTGAACATGGGTTCGATTGATCAGTCGATTCTCATCGAGAAGGGTCAGTGGATATTTCTGATACTGATATTTCATGACCATTCCCCACAAGCAAGTAAGAACTGCAGCTTCAGTGCACAGCCTGGGCAACAGTCCGAGCTGCACTATTGCTGTTGCTCTGTTCTCTGCACATTCTCTGGATTTAAAATGGACGTGGGGCCACACATCTCCTCAATCAGGAGCTACAAAAGCAAAGCCGCTCCGAGAAGGAACTCAAAGCACAGAAGCAGGAATCCAGAGCAGACAGAAGTGACAGAAGCGAAATCTGCCTGCACTGCTCTCATGCAGCGATTCGCCGCTTTCACTTCTGAGCATCTGTGATTTCTCGCCTTGTCATCACAGGTGTGACTCTGCTCAGCACCAGCAGCAGCAGCAGGAACCATGGGCGCCATGACTTTCGTCGACATCATTCTGGCCATTATCTTGCCTCCTCTGGGAGTTTTCCTCAAGTTCGGTTGCAAAGTCGAGTTCTGGATCTGCCTGCTGCTCACCATTTTGGGTTACATCCCCGGAATCATCTACGCCATCTACGTGCTTCTCCAGTAAGCAGGCGAGGCGCTGGCTGGCGTCCGCAATGTAGATATGCAAGTGTAAGCCAATCCATGCTCGATTGAACGATGATGTACAAGATGTTCGACCTGGACGCGAGTCTGGGTCTAAGAGCTGAGCTATGGGAGTGGGCATCGGGGATCCACAGTCTTCGACCTTCTGGGCTTCGATCCATCGTTTATGTGTACATATGTAACGACGATGGGGAGCTTGGAGCCCAGAGAAACACACTTTTGCTGGAACTGGAAGATCTCGGAAGAAGATCCTCATTTTTTGCACCGTTTCTAGTTCAAGTACTTGAATAAAAAGGAAGGAGATCCTCTCTCCAGACAAAGTTTCGCATTCTCGTGCTATTGATTCTCACTGACTTCATTCCTGCAGCTCTTTCTCTAATGCTGTTTCTGATTTGTGAAATTGCGTACTTCCAACTTTGGCTCGCCAAGATTGTTGCAGTAGTCTCGTCTCGTCTCGTCAGAATGCTTGCTTCCATATCTTAGAAGTAAATTTGCAGAAGATCTAGAACTGCATCTGGATTCGAAACAAAGGCTTCCTCAAGAGTTCATGAATTTAATCCTTTTCTCTCAAGAGTCGAGAGAGGACGTCGCATTTTGGTACATTATGTATGGATGAGGTACAAACGCCACTGGTGTTCCATTGGTTTCCAGCTCGTGGTTTGGGACGTAAAGGAATTCCAAGTGAACGATTCAGTGGCAAACTACGAGCTTCATCACGTTACCAGTCATGTCCACGTAAAGCTGAAAGCTCTTGCTCGAGCTTTGCTTCCAAGGTGTTCGAGCAATTGTCTCGATCACCAACAGTCTGGACGAAGCAGCTGCAAGCTCCGACTTGAACTTGAAGAGATTAACGAGGTGGGCTCGGGGCAGTAAGAATACTTGGCCCAGAGACTCTCAAGCTTGATCTGAACTCAAGAGATGGGAAGTCGTCGACATGATGATTAGAACTTCGATTTACAAACCTCAGCTTGGGGTTGCCATGAGGGACTAAAATTAAACTATTAGACAAGAAAATTTCCAAACCATTGCACGATGCGTTCCTTCCACAGAGGACAGCATCAGTCACGCAGTGCCAAGAGGACGCACGTCTTCCTCTTTCGGAGAGCACGAAATGTCCTCGTGCTCTTCTCGTCTCGCTTTAGAAAGTGGGAACCCACATGCTGGCTGAAAAGTCGGGGTCGTACGACTCATGGCTCATGTGCTCCATGGCAGATGAGTTAAAATCGTGAGCTCATCGCAGCGGGATGGAATTGAATAATTTGCAGCGACACAGACACTTCTGCTGAATGACGATCATGAAATTATGGGGCCCAGTAGCCTTGCCATGAAGGGATTCGAGGGAAGGTGGCGTGCTCGTCTGAGGTTCTCGAACATAAGAATCAATGCTCCGCCTGCAGCAGCAGCAGTAGAAGCAGCAAGCGTGCGCATGATCGGAAATGGAGTTCTCATGAAACATTTTTAATCTGCTCTGTGGAAGGGCAAATGAGTGCTATGAGACCATAGCGTGCAATGAGTTACAATCTGATCCATTTTCAGCATTTTCTAATGTGCAAAAACCCACAAAATCCAAGTATGAGGCCAATGCTTACCGACTCACTCACTCACTCATCACGTAGAAGACTGCCAGCGACCATGTACGAATGTGGTAAACCGAGATTGCGCTTTAACTCTTATGATTGCGATTCTTTTCATGATGTCTCTCTCAAAGCTTGGTCTATAGCTCAGCAGATGGACGCTCGGGACTTGAATGTGCGTAGGACCTGTCTGGTGTTGTGCAACAACCGCTTCACCAACAAACACACCCTCTATCACCAAGTCTCATCCTCGTCCTGCCGCTTGGCTGTGTCTGCGGTGGGTCTTCCATCAAAACCTCGTATCCATGTTTTGCACTTCATTGTGCCATTTAACATATTGCTTGCTACCCATCGACCTGCATCTGAACGGACTCATGGAAAACGCGGACAGTTTTCAAATTCATTCTGAATCCTTAGTGGATGAGAACCACACTACATAGTATACCCAGACAACAAATGCCTTCGGAACCTTTCCCAGGTTATGCGAATGTTGTTCTGCATTCGCAAAGCTAACCGTAGTTTCGAAAGCTCCGTCTATTTTTGTTGACTCTGCTGTTAAGTTCTCATCATAAGACCAGTTCACGTCATGGAGATTCTATTACAAGTACCTCACTACAACAGGTTGGAATGCATAGCTCCTCAAAGTGATTGTTTGCGCGGCAGCTTCCTGAAGCCTTGTAGACTTCACTCTGCAGAGGCTAGATTGCAAAGATGTCGTGGCTTTCTATCGATGAAGTAAGCACCAGGGACTGGGGTTCATGAAATCCAAAAATCAAACGACAACATGAGACCATGCACACTATGAACTAGATCTCCACGGACCCATAGGCGTGTACTCAGTTTACCTTCCATCGGCAGGCAGAAAACTACTAGCTTCAAGGTTACATTGAGCTACCTTTGGAGTAACAACATTTCCAAAAGAAAAGAAAACCACGTTCTGAAAGTTTACTGTGCCCAAATGTCCTCTCCTGTGACCAGGGCACTGAAGTCCCCCGGGTTCGTCCAGTGTACATCAATCAGTTGTCTCCATAGAATAAACCAACGAGAAGTATGCGTATCGTGTATCGCCAGTTGGTTCGATTTAGAGTATGTTCAGAAATATTGGCTTCGTTAATTCAGTTTCCATCCTCGCCTTCCACACACAATTCAGGTTGTGAATGATCACAGAACTTTCTAACCGTCAACGTCAGGTGGTCGATGCTGAGTACTAATTTTTGCAAGATAACATGCAATTAAAAATGCCGCTCAATCGCCAAGGATATTTTCATCCTTTCGTAGCTTATTCAACAGCGGAGGAACTGTAGCAACTAAGCTGAAGAATAAGAAGATAACTGCAATAAGTGAATCTTCAACAACCAATGAAAACAGGGACAGGAAGAGAAAGACCTTCAGATTTCACCGACAAGATAAATTGACAAGTTTGCGTTGAGGCTCTTTCTGTGCATCATCAATCTCTCCCCATTATATAGCTTTACAATCCCGAAACTAGCTCCAACAGACTACCGAGATATCCATTCTTATCAAAACTCTTCAGGATTATATCAGTTTCTCCAATTCAACGCATCCTCTGACCATAGACACCTCGTTACACCTCAGCAGCGTGCCAAGGCCCGGCTACAAGCCCCACTAAGAGCAATGAGAAGCACTCCCAGGTGATATCTCGCACCAATATGGGGACCAAAACTTGCTTTAGCTCAACCATGTGTTTGAACTTACCGCTCTCACTTTTAGGCCAGTGAGTATATGTACATGACATGACAGTCCCATGGCTGACTAAGCCTGTTCAATAAGCACACAACGTGATTATCCCTAGGAACAAACATCCCCAATCAATGGGGAAACCTTCGTTCGGCCAAAATGCACTGGTTGCAGCTTCATGTATCAATTGCTATACTCGCAGTTCAACTCCTCATGGTCAGACTGGAACTTGGCAACCTTCCTTTCAATCCAGATGGTTTGCTCGGTTTGTCGTCCACAGTACCCATCTCATCAGAAGAAATCTGGAAGATGGACAATAAACTTTGTAAAAATTTCAACAATGATCGTTGTGTGTAAGGGCTTCAGTCTAACCTCTTCAAAGACAGAGTAATGCTCTCACTTCATATCTGCTCTTAAAAACAAGACGGGGTCATGGATGAGATGGATATTAGCGCTGCAAGACCTGCCAAACAAACCGAACCAAGCGAACATACTACATTAAGTGTTTGACAGCTACTTGAGACTTCCAAGGGAGAACCTCAAAGCTTGGGCCAGCTATCCTTGAAGGTTTCTCGGTGAACGTTCCAGCGGAGAAGTTGTGAAGCCGTGGATATGGGATTTTGTAGTGCCAAGCAATGTCGTGCCTCGACTCTCCTTCAAATATCTGACAAAGGGAAGTGAGTGACCGAGAGATTAAAACAGAGAGGGTCGAGGAAAATGACCATTTTATATTTTCCTCACACAGAGCAAACGAGTGAGTTTATGCTCTTCAAAAACCCTATTAGATTGCTTTGTAGACAGCTGACCTGCTACTTCCAGGGTTTAACAAATTAAAAATATCGACAGCTTACCTTCCTGTCAATTTCCTCAGGTTGCGCCAAGTGCCGATTTGCCTCGAATTGATTGCGACTCTCCGTCTGCTAACAAAGTGTAATGAGGAAAACGCTCACAATTGGCTGGGTGGAAACTAAAAACGAAATTCCGCTCATATGAGAAGTTTTCCAGCTCTAGACGACTTGTTAATGTACAGCCCAATCTTATCAGCTACAGTCCAAAAAGAAATGCACCGTTTCTTATAGTTGCAATTATCTTTCTTAAAAGTAAATTGCTTTCATATGTCAGTTACTTGCCATCGATCAATAGGAACGGCAAGATAGAGCATCATGACGAGGGACAAAGGTCGCTGAGAAAATCACAAAACCTACTATTTCTCCGGATACGGATTTGGGCCCATCGATCTACTGCAACAGAGAATTTCCAATCGCACGTCAATTCTGCCTAAACCAGAAAAATCGACTTGCTCAAAGCACCAGTATGTACAAACACGGATTGGGATTGAACGGAAACGAGGATACTGCCAAGAGCAGTCTCGCAAGGTCAAGGCAAGCCGTCCTAGAATTGGAAGGTGCAATGCGCCATCCAATCATAGGACGCATACCCTAGAAGGCACTGCGATCATGTGTGGCACTGCTGGCATATAAATCGTAGACGGAATTTCAAGTCATGCGCAATCAGGACGCCATGCAATGCAACCACATAAACAATGAGGATTCGAATTCACAAGATCAAGGATGAGCAAAAATCTTTCCCTTCGTCTACAGCACACATCCCGGACATTGAGATGAGCTTCACTGAATCGAATTGAAAGGCTTTCGACCGCTTCAAGTGCAATCAAGCAAGAACCCATTGCAAATTCAAGCGAGTTAGTCCCGTACCAGAATGTACTGCTTCTCAGCCGCAGGGCCAGGCCGCGCTCTTGCCGTTCGTAGCAGCTTCCGATAAAGGGCACGGGCCGCGACACGCCGCTTTCACTTCTGAGCATCTGTGATTTCTCGCCTTGTCTTCACAGGTGTGACTCTGCTCAGCACCAGCATCAGCAGCAGCAGCAGGAACCATGGGCGCCATGACTTACGTCGACATCATTCTGGCCATCATCTTGCCTCCTCTGGGAGTTTTCCTCAAGTTCGGTTGCAGAGTCGAGTTCTGGATCTGCCTGCTGCTCACCATTTTGGGTTACATCCCCGGAATCATCTACGCCATCTACGTGCTTCTCCA